GGCGTCATGAGGCGGGGGGGCCCCTGCCGATGCAGGTTGGTCGGGGGCAGCGGCGCAAGGGCCAGGCACACCCCGGCCCTTCCCCCTGCCAGCCCTCTGAGCCCACCTCCCACCCCTCCATCTGCATTGCACAGGGTGGCCCCAAGCCAGGGGAAATGACCCTTTCCAGCCCAGCACCCACACCCGAGCATCCTTCCTGGGCAAAAAAAATCTGGAAAGATGGAAAGCAACTCTTGTCTGTGAAATGGCATCATGTTTTTAGTCCAAAGCGACTTCCCTCTGGGTCTCTGCCTGGCCTCCACACTTCCTAGCCACGTTCTTGGTATCTCCAGGTTGGGTAGGTTGATGGGCACTAATCTGGTAATTGGGCAGGCGGTTTCTCTGTAAAACAAAAAAGTTCCCTGTGGTCCTTTGTTTTCACTTCTGCTTTTAATTACTGCTGTTGCTGTTTTGCTTGAGATCCTGTAGCTTTTTATGCAAACGGGATCTTAGGAATTCATCTGACTCCACTTTGGTATTTGTTTTGTCGTTTTTCAATAAAATGGGAGAGATGAAAGCCCAACACAGCATAAAAAATTCAGCAAAGCTCATTGATCGGAATAACTGGGATGCAAAGCAGAGCACTCGCAATGGGTGTTGTGCTCTGACCTATAAACCATAACCTTTTGTTCACTGGATTAGACAGCAGGCATGGGAAAAAATGTATTTGAAGTCTGAACACATAGACTGCACAGTAATTAAGGCCCTTCTTCAACTGCTGCATAATACATTTCTCTATCAGCTCCTGCTGCAGGACGCAGGAAAACAACATTCATCCCTAGACAAAAGGCATGGCACCTCCTGTCAGCTCAGACCAGTCAACACCGGAGCATCTTAACACAAACCCACAGAAACGGGGACATGAGCACTCAGGGCAATGAGCGGGGCAGGTCCTTCACCCTCTGTGCGGGGCTCCACAGCCTCCTTGTGGGGTAAAACCAAAGCATCCAAACCAGAGCTCTGCCCCAGTGCTGCCCCGGTGCCGTGGGGCCAACTTCATTGACAGGGGCTGCCACCTCCCTGATGTCTTGCCAACTCCCTGCTCCAAAAGTGCCGGAGATGGTCCAGGGCCAGACCTTTCCTGAAAGGCCCAGCTCCAAGGTGGGTCAGGTCACTCGGTGGAGGAGGGAAGAGAAGGATGGATGCCGGGAGGAGTCATGGAGAGGAAGGGTGAAGCAATGCTTTTGGAGGAAAGACACAAAGAGAAGATGGGCTGGGGAGAGGTGATGATGTCGTATGGATGTATGTGATGTCTCAGAGAGGAGGTGCTGGCAGAGCAGCCCGTTCCCATGGCCAGCTCTGGGTAGACCTGTGCTCAACCTGCAGCCACAGTCACACCAGCCAACAATGTGTTAGGGTCTGCTAGGAATGAGTCGAAGATGGAGACAGAAGATGCTGTCAGGCTAGGCTGCCCCGCTGCTGAAGGAGGATGGTGAAAGCTGGGGGGGAGTCAGAGACATGCAAGGAAGAAACATGGCAAAATGTTACTGTATGAGGAAACAGGACTCTTCAGAGATGAATAAGAAGGCTTGTAAGACCACTATGTAAAGTAATGAACATCACAGAAGGTGGTGGAGGAGCACACATACGTATCTCCAGCATATCCAGAGCCAGGAAAAGGCTCAGTAATGATGACAGTGCAGAAGTCTGGGGAGAAACACGATGGTCCTGCACAAGCTTTCGACACCCGCAGTGGTCCTGGGGTGAGCCCTCGCTGCTCCTGCCTGCCACAGCATTACTCACACGCCCCGATGGCCCTGGGGCAGCCAGCCCCCCCACACTGCCACAGATTTGGGGTCGCAATCCTTGCATTCCCATGCATGAGCCATCAACCCACCACATCCTGTCCTCCTCCCCAGACTCCCCTGTGCTCTGGCACACGGCGGCAGGGAATGCTCCCACTGGCTGCCCCTCTGGGGCTTGGAGAGGAGGGCATGGCCGGAGCACCGGTGTGTCAGGGTGCCCTGTGCGGGGGACTGAGAAACTGCCCAATGACGGAGCCGCTGCTCCCCTGGGCTGCCAGGGAAGATGGCAGCCAGGGTTGCAACATCTGGGCAGATGTTACCAGCCAGATTTCATAGGCTGAGGGGGAAACACCCCCCTGGCGGCCAGTGCAGGAGGAGGGGTGCACACAGAGGGTGGGGAAAGGACAAATCCCGCCATGAAGAGGTCCTGTGCTGGGACCAAACAAGGAGAAGAGGGAGAGAAAAGCCTGTTTATAGATGAAACACAGCAAAATCCTTTATCCCAAGAGAGCTTTAAAAACACACCTCGAAACACAAAAGAGGGGCACCTTAAAATGAAACAGATGCCAAAAGAATGGTGTCAGCAGAGACGGGGTGTCCACAGCCAGCACTGGTGGGTCTTGGGCGCTGGACCCCTTACCTGCAAGCCTGTCATCCTCCTCCTCCTCTTGGAGCAGACAGAAACCCCGAGCAGGTATCTGGCCGAAGCAGCCTGCCAAGCAAAGCCTGCTTGCTGGTCGACCGAGCCGGGCTGGTGGCACGCTGACAGTGCTGGAGGTGAGAAAGTCCAAGGGAGATTTCACCCTGTTTGCTCAGCCCAGTCTGTGTTTAACCAAAAGCCAGCCCTTCTCCACAGAACCAACCCCTAGAATCAATGTGAAGGTAATAAATGGGGGTTGAGGGGGACTGGGTTCCCTCACTGCTCCTTTTCCTCCTCCGATGTTAAAAAAAGGGTTGTAGTTCCCACACATGGTGGGGGGGAAGAACAAGGTGTTTAAGAACACAGAAAAGCCATTTTTGCAACCGTTTTATAAGCTTCTTTCATAAATTATACCTCTAGCAATTTTCATACACAACCCTCTAAATGTGTAACAAATATTTGCTTATTATGCTTCTGAGCCATGTTACGCTGGGGACAGAAACAATCACATCCCCGCCTTGGTGAAGGCAGTGGTATTTGTAAAATGCCGTGTGCTGACATTACACAGCAGTTAGTGGCCAGAAGTAGGGGAGTATTTTGTATTCCTGTGATTAGAGCTAGTGAGGAAAACTTTTAAATTCTAAAACATTAATATTTTTCAAGAAAGCTATTGCTTAGGAAGGAGCAGCAGCAAGCATTTAGCTACAGAATACTAATGAAAGTAGCTTTGCATTTCCAGAAGTTGCAGAAAAAAAATCAATCGATTTTATTTGATTTTTTTTTTACTTTGAAATCTCATCTTGCCTCAAAAAAAAAAAAAAGCAATATTTTTTTCCCTTTTCCCTTTCTGTGACCTGCTCTACTATAAGCCCTGCCAGGAGGAAATCTCTAGGAGGCACACCCTGAAATTCAAATGTGACCCTGGAGTTAACATCTCCTCCTCTCCTAGAGCAACCTGGAAGCCTTCCTGCTCCAAAGCAGTTCCCAGTTTGCATGGCTCCTACAGCAGCCAGTGAGACCTCGGGCTTAGTTGCCTCATCTTCTTTAAAATTGGCACCTCCTTACACCACCCTGAGTAAAACGTCAGAGCTGTACCGAGAGCTGCCACTTTTTAAGGTGCAGCAAACGAGGCTGGTTGCTACAGGGGAGCAGCCTGTTTTGGTGGAGGAGAGGGAGAGCTAGTTTTCTTTGGCTGTCCCCCCGGTCTTCTAATCACAGGGTCATAAGACAATTTAGGTTGGAAAGGACTTCAGATGGTAACTTAGTCCAACGTTCAGCTCAAAGCAGGGTCAGCTCTGAGATCAGACCAGACTGCTCAGGACTTTATCCAGTCCTGTCTTGAAGACTTAGAATCATAGAATCATAGAATCATAGAAT